CTTTAACCCAGGCAGTTCTGCACGGGGGGTCAGTTCTGTGGCGCTACGTACCCTGCCTTGTAGCATGAGGTGTAAAACTAAAATCCTGATTGCCTGTGGCCGCTACAAATCCCACGGCACTATTTACAAATATGCAAGCAATTACGGCAGACTGGAAGTGGCCAAACTGGTAATTCTATTCTGCCAACATAAATCCTCCCACTGTAACCGAATGTGGACTTTTTTTTTTCATCTCACGGCATAAACTTTAAAGTCTTGCTGTAAAATGCTCATTAGCCATCACATATCTTTATGGAGTAGCACTTGCTTTACAATAGAGGGTGAAAGGAAGTTTGTTCTACGGGTAGTGAGACACTGGGGCTACTTTAGGATAAAAGCTCCAACACAACAGTTTGCTATAGCAGAAAATTAATAGAGATAGTTTCAAATGCCACTAAAAAACAATCTGCTTCTTCATCCACCAGCAGCTCTTCTTCTCAAACTGCCCTTACTATATTCTCCCACACATTGCTACAAGATGACACCTTGAATTTTTAATGTTTTTCCTGTTAATTAAAGGACTTGTTCCTCCCCAAAGGCTGGGAAGAAGGTGACATTTCCAGTTTTAAGTTTGATTCATGTTGGCATAGCTTTCAGGTGCGGAGGTTTTTCCTCTACTTCGTTTGGAGCACGGCTCCCTGTGAATTTCTCTGTGTGATAGTTTGGACTAAGGAAAATTCCAGGCAGCGGAAACAGAATTATCTAGATCCTGTTACAAAATCACTCCTAAACAAATCCATAAAAGGCTCTTTTACAACAATTCATGGCCTATCACTGCCCAATCTGCTTTACAATTTAATAAATATATATTACTTTGCACAATACGGTTGGGTAAGAAAAGCAGCATCCCCTGACCTGCACATCCTGTCACCATCTCAGCCTCTCCTTTACTTCTTCCTATAGCAAGAAGAGAGCAGCCAAGTCACGATTTCATCCCAGAAGCATGAAATACGATGCTTACACCCAGCTCGAATCCACGATTTTAAGTCCATAGTTTGAAGTTGGTTGGTGCTGGTCCCTCCCAGTAATACACGAGATGCTGGGCAGGAAATGAACTCTAAAGCAGAGAAGCAGATTTGGCAGAGCACTCTGCACTGAGCTCAGTGTCAGTTTCTCTAAATAAAGATGGAATTAAGCAGACACTCGTCTGAGAAATGTCAGCTTCAGAGAAACCCCAGTAAGTGAAGGTCTCACAGTTTATCAGCACATTGTGCTGTGTAAAGTGGAAAGTTGTTTATAAGGTTTCCACGCACACGCTTATTCCCACAGTTACATACCAATAAATTTTTTATCAACTTGAGGGAGAGAGATGAAACATCAAATGGCTCATGCAGCTGAAGAGCAGGCCATTGTCACCTACCTGGCTACTTTCATCCCACATTTTAATTTATTACAGCTTTCCTATAGATCCCAGTGAACTTTATCAAGCCAGGACTCTGATCTACAGCCACAACTTCATTTTGCTTTACCTGAGACAGAAAAATGGATTTCTATCTTTTAGCTCCAGAAGAGTCAGTGACTTTCTTTTGTTTAATTCAGCTTATGGAAAAAAAATGGATCTCTTTCAGAAAGAGGACAAAGAGTATTCAGCAAAAGACACTTTGAAACTGTATTGCCTGTTTTTGAGTTACTGCTCTGAGAGCCTGATCCAGAAGCAACCAAATTCAACAGCTTCTCAGTTTCAGCAGTCTTTGGAGCAGGTTCTAAAAGGCTTTTCTTTATGCTCCTTCTAATGCTGTGTCATACTCCAGAGCCAAAAAGAAGAAAGTCTACACATTTAGCTTGGAATATAGAATGGGATCTTAATTAGCATTCCCATTCAGCTTAATTCCAGTCAAAGAAAGTTTTTAGCATTACCAGAGGAGCAAAAGGTAAGCTGCTATGCATCACTTCTCTAAATCTTATCCATAGATCTCTCTGATGGAAGAACCGGCGCACACACTGCCATCAGTACATGTAATTAGTGGCAGAATGCACAAAGAGGTATAGCCTAACTAGATGCTGGAAAGACACGTGAACCAATTGTCTGTATATAGAAGTACATGAAAAAATACTAGAGAGAGGCATGATGATATCCGGGTGCGTCTGCTATAAAAAGCATTTGTATTACCCTTACTTCTCTGAATAAATTCAAATGACAGCCCCATTTCATTTCTTCATTCAGTCTGGAGGCCAGATGGCATTAGAATCATTTACTTCACCTTGTTGTGCTTAATTACTACAATCAACACACTATTTTCCAAATTAATCATAACAAAGTAATTTCATTAGTAACACAGCAGGCTGTTGAATTATTAGCATCATAACAGTTTGCAAACAATTAAACTTTATTTGAACCTTAAAAATTTGCAGAGTAGAACATTATTGTAAGATCTAATGGCAGTATAGTACAAATCCAGAACAGAGCAAATAATCAAGTAAAACGCTGTACAAAATATGACTTACAGTCACCTTTTTAAAAATTAGCTGTTTTACTGTTCATGGAAAGGCAAGTGCAGTGTAGGTAAACAAAGAAAACAAAGCCATTAGCATTTCCTACCACTGAGTTTTGTTTAAGTAGGATTCACAGAGATTTTCTTATCCAAAAAAGGTGATGGCATTTGCACAGATTTAAAGTAAACGATTCATCCCTGGCCCGTTGCTGGGTTATTCCAAGAGATTGCGAGAGAGTTTCGGGACAATCTTTCACGTTTTGAATTTCGAGGCAGTTTGTATACTTAAAAAGAAAAAAAAAGGGGGGGAGGTTGATGGAGGTGGGGGAGAGAAGTCCTAGAGGAGGAGGAGTAGAGACAAAAGGCACTGCATCCCTCCGGCTGCCACCACCCAGGAGAGGAAGCGCAGGCAGCGGGACCTGCTCATCGGTTGGGAAAGGTCTCCCTCTGCTGGAGAAAAAGCAGAAGCGGCCGGGAAAGGGGGAAGGAAGGGGATGGGGCGGGGGGGGCGGCTCAGCCTCTCCTCCCGTCCTGTGAAAACCTGCTGCCACCTGCCGCCGCGGGCGCGCACTGCAGCGCGGGGGCCGCGCAGGGGCCGCGCAAGGGCCGCGCAGGGCAGCGAGCAGCCGCCCCCGGGCTCTCGTCCCCTCCCAAACCGAGTTTCCCGCGCATGTTGTTCGGGGGAGTGGGGGGGACACGACGACTTACTCCCCAAAAAAGTAGGTGGGGGGGTGGAATTGGGAATGACGCGATTAATAAAAAGCCATTTGGGTGGGCAGATTTATGACGCTGCCACGTTAACAAGAGAGCAGGAGCTTTTCTAGCCACGATATTAACGCTTCACATTCGGTACAGCGGCTCAGCCTCTCCTCCCGTCCTGTGAAAACCTGCTGCCACCTGCCGCCGCGGGCGCGCACTGCAGCGCGGGGGCCGCGCAGGGGCCGCGCAAGGGCCGCGCAGGGCAGCGAGCAGCCGCCCCCGGGCTCTCGTCCCCTCCCAAACCGAGTTTCCCGCGCATGTTGTTCGGGGGAGTGGGGGGGACACGACGACTTACTCCCCAAAAAAGTAGGTGGGGGGGTGGAATTGGGAATGACGCGATTAATAAAAAGCCATTTGGGTGGGCAGATTTATGACGCTGCCACGTTAACAAGAGAGCAGGAGCTTTTCTAGCCACGATATTAACGCTTCACATTCGGTACACAATCCACAACTACACTTGATAAATTAAAGTAGTAAAAGATCTGAAGACTACAATCTATCATTTTAATGCTTCGCTGATAACATACAGAATCAATTTCAATGACTATCTCTTTTTTTAAAAAAATTACAACAAAACCCTGTATCCTGTTTGACTCCTATTAGAACCCAGCGTACCGTCAAGTATCCTACGTTGGCTAACATAAAGCACAACATCTTCATTTACTGAAAAGGCTCTAATTCCGAGCTCAGGCTAACGTTACCTTTTAACCCACAGCGCTTCCAGGGCCCGCCTGAAGCGTAAACAGCACCAGAAAGGAGAAGGGGACCTGCACAGGCTCAGCAATTCGCAGACGGGCTTGACCTGCCTCGTTGGCAGATTAAGGGTCTCACAAATCAAGTGTGTGGGAGGATTCAAAAAAAGTCCATCCTGCGCGCTCGTAGTAAGGCACATCTCCAAAACAAGAGGATTTAAAATATTAACTCTGCCCAATCCCTTGTCCGCACGTACGAGTATTTTACTGTACTTTTTTTTTTTTTAAGGTTTGAACAGATGCTTTTAGCCACAAAGTTCTGGATTTGACACTAAGACTGCAAGTAGCCATTATTAACCCCCGTAGACCCGAAGATGTCTGTTGCACAGCTTGTATCAGAAATTCCACGTACCAACAAGGTATCCAGATTTGAAAGTGTGATACTGTGAAAGTATCTGTAAGGTACAGATAAAATATTTCACACTACCAAGGACAAAAATCTTTCTTACCTGCCATATAGCTCGTTTTGACTTCACAAAAAATAGTGGTTCTCAATATATTATCTTTTTAGAAATTTTCACGTAATTCACACCTCAAAGTCAGAATGGTATCGGGGCAGTATTACCACATCAGCAAAACCAAAATATTAATTAACAATACCAATACTAAACACGTGAGAAAAAATAAATCATTGGCTAAAACATGATACAAAAACATTTGGAAGCAGAATACCCTGAAGACTTGCAATATTACACATAAATTTCCCTTGATTTTCCTAGGAAACTGCACAAAATGTACAGCGATCATTAAAAGGTTAATGCACGCAGGAACTGAGTAATAGTTTTCTACTTTCAAAGTTCAGCTTAATTTTTCTGAGGAACATCTGAGGATCAGGAAAACGTAGCCAAATTCCCTGAGAGAACACAAACCTATAGTTACACAGAGTGCTGCTTCAGAAAAAAGCAACAGGCACTATTTGGCTGCTTGTGCCCCATATGTTAATTACCATCTATTTCATTTCCTAGCATTACAATTCCATAAAAAAAAAAAAGTGGCTGAGAAGAACATTTCCGCAGGATTATGATCAATTACAGTTTTTAATGTTTAATATACACAAGGCAATGATTTGACTACATTCACTGAAACCACAAAACGTGTAGGGCAGAATCTTCTTCTTTCGGAGGCCGGGTGTGTAGACTGCAGCTGCACACCACTCTTGATTTCAAGCGCAGATTTCTCCTGATTAGGGAGAAGGAAGTTGAAAGTTCATCATTAACCAAAAAACCTCAAACATGCATATCAAACCCAGTGCATCTATCTATCCCCTTCCACAGTTTTCTGCACAGACACAGACATACTACTGAAGTAACAAAAGTAACTAGAAAGCACATCAATTTTATTTAAAAAAAAATCTGGAAAAGGAACATAGCTATAAAATACATCATCTTTTGTACACTATGTTTTAATATTTCATGCAGAATCCCAGAAAAAGTGCTTTAATTGAACCTTCGATGTATTTTGCCATAATCTTTATGTTAACAGGACTCCTACAAAGGTTCCAGGAAAGAAATACTTATGAAACAGAGAACAAGGGAACATATAAGCCATTACAGAAGATTGGATTAAAATGTACTTACCCAGGCCTCTCAAATATCATACATCTCCATTATGTAGGCTTTAGGCACCAAGCCAATGGTTCCCTTCATTTCTCCTACCCACCAGCCAAATCTATTGTACTCCTAATTGAAAACAATATGCAATATTAACCTTTAGTCTGATATAAATGCAATAGAGTTTTGTATGCAACTCCTTATGGATGCTTTCTCTTATATACAGTTATAATCATTTCAACTGAAAATTAAAACATTATATCTTTTTGTTAGAGGCATTCACATGCAGAGTTAGGCAAAGAGAGAAGTTAAATTCTGAAAAGGCCAGGCATGCTCTGGAAAATTTCTTAATTATGGCCACGCTTCTCTATAACACCTACTAAAAATACATGACCTGTCCACCCTGCATTCATCACAAATATAAAAATCATACCATTGTAACTAAAATCTAATAGCACAATGTTTAAATATAAGAACTAATGGGAATTCTTTCAGTATCACAAGGCTAAACTATTAAGAAACTTACAATCAACTTACTTTAAATACTACTTCACTCAAATGTGAAGGGAACACTATATATCTAATACATAATCTCTTTCTACGGACAAAGTCTACTATTGCTTTAGGCTTGCAGAAAATTCTACGGCAGATCTCATATGTCTGACAGATGACTAATGTACTTTTGTTTGAAATTTGTTTAGGCTTAGTGAGATAAATATGAAACAAAATGAATTATAATAGTTTAAAGAAATAATCTCTTCCAAAAGCAATACCAAGTAAGAGTATTGTGGGATCCAAATTTAATTTTTTTCCTATGAGGTAAATATTTTAAGATCAATCCTAACAGAGGTTCAATAAATTGTAACAGCTGAAATTGCACACACACATATATTGAGTTACAAATGAAGCATTATTAAAACAGAGACCCCATTCAAAATGGAATGATTAGTAAGACAGAAATTACTTTGGAACAAACATGGAAAATACAAAATACACAGATATGTGTGATAAGCAACATCTGCTTCCTTCTACACTGCTCTTCTGATGAGAAAAGCAAAAGGCTGTAGGATTTTGAATTAATGGACCCACTGTGATGAAGCTATTATTTTGACTGTAGATAAAGTTTTTCAGTTATAAATAGTCAAGTGGAGCTTAAGGGTTAATGGAGTTTCATTAGAGCCCGAGCTATAATGATTTGCTGCTGGCATATTTGGCCTGGTCGAGAGTTCTCTAGGGTCCTATGAGGTGCTCAGCGTGCTCAGCTCTCCCTGTGCTTAACTACGATGAAGCCCTGTTGATGGCCCACTTTCATGTGGGCCCAGGCTTTTTTTTTTTTTTCTTTTTGGCTTTTTTTTTCCTTAATGCGCTTGCATGCAGACACACACACACACACTTTTATATTTTCCTACTGTGGAAAGCTGAACAGCAGTCTTAAACATTTCCTTCCTTCTCTTCACAGTGAATTGGTGATTTAAAAGATTCTATCCCACTACCCATAAAACACTGCAGTAAGTGTGATTTAAAGAAAATCCACATAAAAAGCAGCAGGAAAACCTTCATATATGACGTGAACGCGCAAACAAGAAAGCTGCAAAAGTAATTCCACCTTCCTCCCCCTTCCATAGCAGAACAGACTGCTGGGGATGGGTCTGGTCTAAAAGTCCAGAGGTGTCTGACCCTGGTCTTCACTGCAAACTGCCCTCCACAGAAGTTAAGAACCTCTCATAACCTTTCCCGTGGGTGTACACGTCACACCCCAAATCCTTAACGGCCAAATAATACCCCGATACTGAGGTTTATAATGTTCCAGATCAGCCTGTTTAAAAATCTATGTTTTATCTCACAATACACTGGTTAAATATACAAACTGGATTTCTAGACTGAAGTGGGAAATTGCTGAAAGGAGCGGTATTCACGTACACTACTGGAATCTCAGCAATAAATCTCTCCAAGAGAAAGCAACAAAAGATTTTAAGCTGTTACATGGAACTCGTGAAGTGACTGACAAGAGTGATTAAGCAAGTTTTGCTAGACATCAGCCAAAAAAACAAACAATACATGAAATGAGGGAAGTGGCTTAGCTAAGCAGTCATTAAATTGCGTATGACAAATGGCATAGAAAAAGCCTGTGGACTACATTATCCACTGAAAAAGTTCCACTTAGCAACACTACATGAACTGAGAAACAATTGTTTTTAAAGAAACAATTCAGATACCTCAAATTAAAATTAAAAGCATGCTGTTGTTTTGAAAACTTTCTGGGTTTTGCTACTTCCTAACACACCACTTACTGCTCTGGCATGAAGCTAAGTGAGAAGATGAAATGAATGTTGATGTAATAGACTAGTAAACTAATTTAAGGATTCACTGCAACCATTATACCATACAGACAATATTGCAACACAGAAGCTTTTACTTTACATTACTATTCTTTGCATGGGTCTCGAGAGCAACATGAATCCCAATTAAACTATCTGCAGTCTACAGAAGTCTGAACAAAAATATAATGCAGATACCTGGCTACCAAGAATATAAAACTTTAATCTCAGGTTTTAGAATAATTAGATAGAGGTCCCTTTTAAACCGATTAAAGTACGGACATTTCTCTTTAAACTCCTAACCACTCCTTTCTGCCCTCAGTACCCCAAAAGAGTGCTTCCTAGTCAGGCAGATAAGCAGTGCCCTCCAGTTCTTTCTTGAACTCACACACAAAATCCGAATTGATGTATTGTTTCTATCAGCGTTATCATATAAACTCCTTCATCGTAATATAATTTAATTAATGCACTGCTGTTGTAAGATCCATATGTCTATTGCTGCTAGTTATGGTGTGTAGAATAGAAATCTAAAGCCCACGTTTGTGGGAAATAATGATTAATACGCAGGAGGATATGAATACAGTCAGGAGTTTTACATGAATTTTTAAGAGTTGGGAAGCACGGTACTTTTGCAGGCGTCAGCTCCAGATCTCAGGTACCACTGGGTTTACCATCTGGTCTCCCTCACTGCATCCAGCTCTTAACATCACTGCTAACATAGGCAAGCGACTATACTTCAGAAGGACTGATAAAATAATGAAGAGTCCTTTAATCTACAGGAAACCATTGTAGTCAATTTATAAGAAATATTGCATCCCTTTGTAGGATGTGTAATTATTTTCTATTAATCATGTGCTATAAAGCTACATTATGTGGTTATTCTGTTATCACTAGAAAGAGGCCTGCAGTCAGCTCCTGACAATGTTAGGTAATTACTAACACAAAGCTTCTTTCTCCTTATGTAGAAACGCTATCAAGATCCAGAGGTGCTGTGATGCTCGCTGTATGAAAATAACTCTCCAAAGAAATTCAATAACTGCAAAATGAATTGCTCCAAGGCAAAGAGAGGGATGGGAGCGGGGGGCAGGGCCAGGCCCAGCAATGAGGAGAATGCACAAGTGTGCGGCCGGGGCCGTGCGTGTGACTGGCAGCACATTTGCCACACCAGGACACGCTGGGGGGGCACGGGGGGAGGAAGGGGCCACTGACACCCCCGGAAGACAAGCACCGGGGCAGGGGAATATATTACGCCAAATAATACGAAACAACCACCTTAACAAATGACCAAATGCTTTCTAAGCTACTCCTGTGTTTTCACTGTCATACCGTGGATATTTTATATTTTTTTCTCTCTCTCCAGCAGAAATTTATTAACCGAAGTGAAGTAATTTCACAGGGCAGCAAGGAACAGGTTATGACTTAACATTTAACATTCTGGAAAGACACTTTCCATACAGCACGCTATGATGGGGGTGTGTGTGTGTGTGTGTGTGTGTGTGTGTGTGTGTGTGAAATCCCATCAGGGTTTACAGGCTCCTCAAATGCTCTCAACTGAACACACTACCAGCAGATGCTTCTCCGTGTTCCCGTCCCACCAACGGGTACCCATGGCTCCATGAGACACTCATCACACAAGTTTCTGCACTTGGGGAAAACACAGGAGATAGACTACCTGACTACCTGTTTTTTACTGATAACTTTAAATCCAAGATTTTTGTACTATATGGAAAATAATTTCGATATGCAAGAAGAGAAAAAAAAAAAATTTACATGCAAGGGGATTTCCAAAACAGTCTCTACCTTTAGAACAGATCCTCTGCATAAATGAGGATCTCCAGACGCTTTGCACCATATTAACTTCTACTGGCTTCAGCAAAAGTTGAGAACATCTGGCCTTTGGGCAATTAGTCCCTATTGTTCAATACATATGGTATGTTTTTTTCTGTTTGTGGGGTGGGTTTTTTTAATTTGTTTTGTTTTTTGAAAAGAGTTGTTGAAAAGCATCATTTCACTGAATTTTCACTGAATTTCACTGAATTTCTAGAGTTGGAAGGGACCATAGAGATCATCTAGTCCAACTCATTGTGTTTCAATGCCTTGGAAAAAACAATGGAGCTGTATTTTTAAAAATACTGATAATAAAAACTGAAGTGTGTGAATTCAGAATTTTTTCCTGCCCTCTTCCAGTGGCACTATAAGTAGCATTAACTTAGAAGCTGAAGATCTGCAAACTTTAAAACTGAAAAGAAAAACCTATTGCCTTGTTTGAGGTTAAAATAAGTAGCCTCTCCTATCAAGCTAAAGATGTGTGGGAAGCAGGGAGAAATATTTTTTTTAAGAATATCCTGGGGGGCAATTTTGGAAGGATAATATTTTAAAACACCTCTAATTTATCCAGGAGATTCAGACTAGCTAAAAAATTTTAGAACTTCCTTTGGTGTAATTGCTGAATGATACACTATCAACCAGGGAGCATTTTTGGCACAGAAAAGCATTTTCTCTAAAAAGCAGAAAATGACAAATGGTTTAGATAACTGAATAAGACTTCTTCACAGGTAGTAGAGTTGTTTTAAGACAGCAATAAAATGGTCATCTTTAAGAATATAAGCCTCAGATTTATTGTATGGTTGCATTATTAGGTTTTATTTCCTGCAATGACATGAGACAAAATAGACACCAATTAAATAGTTCCAATATAAATCAGGGGAAGCAGACTGAATTCTGAACCAAAACTGGCCCCTGAAAACACCCTGGAATGACAGAGGGGCCATTTTTTTTTCCATTAGATGACACAATGCCAGATTTTTTTTCTAATCAGGTAGGTAAATGCTTACACATTATCAGTATGGAAACCATCGGTGCTAGAGTCACTTTGAATTAGTCTGTCTTAAATAATCTTCCAGTTAAAGGCCTTTACACTTATGTTCAGCCACGTACCTATTTTTTTATATATAAGGGATATACCTAAACAAGCCAGAAGTATGAAAATTGCAACTTAGTGCTGCACTTTAGCTTTGATGAGAAGCATCCCGCTGAGGTGAATCTCCCACAGCTCCCAACTTTCCCCACCTTGGCTCACTTCACAGAGCCACCAGTCTCAGAGCACAATCGCCACATTTCTGTCAGATAAAATTAAAATGGAAGATGCACTTGAATGTGCTCCCACCACTAATGTGTTCTCATTCCACAAAACCAGGCTAGAACCTCTTCGGACATTGGAAACTCTTTGAAACCCCACGGTTTGGACGCCGGGGCCTCAGCACCAAGTGTTTCCATCCACAAATCTGCTCCTCTTGGTAACCCCTACTTGCTAAGGTAGACATTGGCAGTATGCTCATGGAAAGAGAAATCACTGTTAAATACAGATCTCAATATGATCAGTCAGAAAATAGCCTGACCAAAAAGAAAAAAAAAAACAAACCCACTAAGGGTTTTAGTATGCACTTTCATATCTTTCTGAAAAAATACCGAATAAATACATTTTATGAAGATTATACAAATAATGTACAAAATGCTCACACTGATCATGAAACAGCTGCACGGGTAAGTTGTGCTTTATTTCACAAGCAGTAATCCGAGCTATGGAGATTTCTTTGCTTGTGTTTTCACAAACAGAAAGCAGAGATTGAGATGTGAGCATTTTAACAGACATTTCTTGTATTGAAAGAACAAAAATCTGCCACACTGGAAGTGTACAACCACTGAATAAAGGGTAACCTAGATACCAAGGTAACACTCCCATGAAAAATTTGAGAGCAAAGGGTTAAGTCATAGATGAGATTTCCATGAATCATAAATACCAGAGTAAGCAGCATTATATTGCACTGGCATGCACTAAAATAATAACAGGGAAGGAGGATTTCAGTTTGAGATATAATTTCTGGTTTTCAAGTATTATTTGTTGTTTTAATGCAAATATAAATGAGATAGGAATTAAATTAGGTTAAAAGTTAAGAAATGTCAGTAATTCTACTAAGCTAACATCTGCTACTAAGCCTGCTAACGTCTAAGTAAATTTCCATTACTACCTGCATTTGGCTGATGAAGCCATGGCATTTTCCAGCACAAATCATGCACCTAAAGCAAACAAACAAATACTACAAATGCCGAACTTGCATAAATTGTACATACCAAACTTAAAAAAAAAAAAGTACGGCTACCTCCACTCACAGTTGTCTTTGTTTCTGGAAATTGATTTCTTGAGTAAGAGCTATGGAAGATTTATAAAAAGGATTGTTATCTCGTGGCTTGTTTCCCCATTTATCATATGGGCTTGAAAGCAAAGGCAAACCCATAAATGAGCAGGAGTTAAGAGCAATCATCCTTTTAGAAAACAGGATGCCCAAGTATTGCATTTCTAATAGTCAATATTAACTAAGTCAATATTAACAAAGAAATCTTATTAATGAGTCCCTCTATCAGTAGAGCTATAAAATGTTTTCTATTGCATAGCGGGAGAGGGGTATATAGTTTTCCGGAAGTTGACATGATTCGTAGCATAAGTTATAAAAGCTACTTAAATATTCAGGAATATCATAAATTAAAATTATAACAGTATGAGTTTATCTGTACAGATAAATTCAATAATCTGAAAAGTTAACTATTTTTTTAAATAAAGGAAAGCTAACAAGTACTATTGCAACAGTTCTGTTAATTCTGCTCAGATTAAAAACTCAACTTTTGAAGGAAACTCTCAAAGGTAGAAAAAACTACAAAAGAGTCTGGGGATTTTTTTGAAAGAGTCCATAGGACTGATGCCACATAAAAGCTGCAACAGACATGAATATTTAGATAATAGCTAAAATAGGTCTTGACTGCACCTTTAAAACAAGGAAAACATGCTTTTCCACAGTAATTACAGTAGTTGGGCACAGGTATTTGTATCATCAGAGTGTAAGCATGCAAATCATGCCCATCATACTAACACTGAATTTTGATGCTCAGTTTTAGGAAGTAAGTATTGCCAAACTGAAACCTTGCTCATTCTTCTGGAAGGCATTCACCTAGAAACTTACATCTAACATATTGCTCCTCTTGCTTTATTTAAATTACATCAATGCCCAAATTTGCTAAACTAGTTGATAATCACTTCTGTTGTACTAATGAACTTATTTCTTGGAATCAAAATAGTCACTTTTCCCTTCATTTCTATAAAGGTATGTGAAAAGCAGGTAAAAATATATTGCTTTGGCAAACTATTGCTGAGAGAGACAAATATCTATCTTATCACGTTCATCGGAGCAAGCAATACCATTTATATTTCATTATAAAACAAAGAACTATTACATGTTGCACAAATATGTTCGATATTTTGTTAATGCTTCGCCCTTCCTACTCTAACACTACCATAGCTGTACTTACTTCCTTATCAGCAAAATGTGATTTTCAAGAGTAATGTTCATACCTGGCTGACATATGATAGAAAGGCAATAAAGCCATAGCTAGGTTCAAGCTGAAGCTGAATTTATGACACCATTTTGGATCCGTACACATTGCCTCCCATCAGTACCTGCATCTCTCATTTTCAACCACTAGATGGTGTGAAAAAATAAAAAAATTGCCATGGATTCCTGCCGACTGCCACAAAATCCAAATATTAATGTAGTGGATTAGGAAATATTTTTTGAGGAAAAGTCTTGACCCACTTCAGGACGGTTAGATTCACTTTTCCTTTGGTTATATTTTCACTTAGCAGGCAAAGAGCTCGTAAATGATCAGACCTTGAAACTGAATCAAGTGGAGGGTTAAGATGGATAATTCTCTGGCACTTTCCCCTCCAAGGACCCTAAATTCAGAGTTGACAGTAGTGGCCGGCACTCATTTGTCTGAAAAAGCTGTAACAATTTTTAAGTGAAACAGGGCTGAATTTTCTAGGCTGTATTTTGGAGTAGAAATCATTCCCAAAGAGAGAGGCTCTATATATCTGGAGAAGCAGCCAGACTGTTTCAAGGACCGATTACGGATTAATCACGGCATGACCACAAGACAGTTGATATACAGAGGACAGCTTAAGCTACTGTTTTTCTAATCTGCTCCATTTTTTAGATTAAATTTCTCACTCTTTTGGGAAAGAAGTAGCAAATTATTTTTTCACCTACAAGCTGAAGATTAAGATTTCATAGTCCCCACACCATACCAGAACTGTACAACCCACAGAGACCAAACTCATACACTGGTATCTGTTTGTCCATGGGCTCTTCAGAGGGAGGGAGAGGGGGAAGAGATGGTTATTTTAAATTAGTACCATTCTTCAGTGCTGTATAACTGCTTGAAATTCTGCCCAATCCAAGAGAGCTACTTTGCCTTTAGTAATGCAATTCAGTTATTAGTTTAAGTGACAATGAAATACCTCAAAAGACATACATGGTCACATTACCATTAGTAATACATCTTCTGTGTTTTTATATAGAACTATCTTTCTATCCATAAATCTTAAATTTATTTAAACAGAAGCTGTTACATTTATTATCCAGAAACGTTGCACGGAAGATTTAAAGCAATTGTGACAAAACTGAGGAGTCTGGAACTAAGAGAAACAGATGCCTTTAGCTTTCACACACCTATTTGTGTATTTTAATGATCTAAAATATCTGTGGAATTAATTGTACCAAATGGCAATTACACCTGAGATATATAATCTACATATATTTTAAAAGGTGTTTTTTTCAATGAGAACTTGAAAAGCTCAGCTTTTTTCTAATATGTGGGGAAAATAAATTTTCTTTGATGAATTGTTCAGAGGTAGATTTCAATGGACCATGAGACATATATTTTAGGAGAGGTTTTGTTTTTGTTGGGGGGAGCAGGGTGTTAAGGAAAAATACTCAACATTGAAGTAGAAAAAAACCTCATGCTTCTACTGCTTATCATCACTTTAGATGAGAGGAATTATATTTATCATTTGCTTTGCAAATAGGAAAGCAGTAAATTTAAAATTGCCCAAATCTGTCAGAGCAAACAAATTTGGAATCTGAGCCGTCAGAACAATTACAATATACATACAAAGATGGGAGCACAGTTCGAAAAAACAAACCATCTTCTGTAGCAAGTTGCCCAAAAAGTCAGAATCGACGTAGTCAGGAATATAAAACAGGAAACAGAAACATAACATACAAGATAATTTAAAATTCTACAAGGTTAACTTTTACAAGCAGAAAGCACATTGTCTCCCGCTAAATCAGTTAACAAATGGTAGCCAAGATTTAACAAGTAAATAAACATGCTTTTAAGTTAATTCCTGTTATATGGCTATGTTTTAAATGTGATTATAGTTCATTTGACAAAATAATTAATTGCAGTGAATATCTGATTGCAAACAAAGGATCTGAAAGGGAGTGCCAATTTCCCCCCATAGAACTGTGGGAATGTGCCCTTCTGCCATGGCTCTCTTTTTACAACTGTGTAGCTCCCATAGCATCCCGTACCTTGCTGAGAATGTAGATAACGTCACCACGTTTAAACGTCAACTCATCCGGTACATCTCCTGTGCAGTCCCACAAACCTTGATAGAAATTGGCATAATCGGTATTTTTGCTATCTGAAAAAAAAAAAAAAAAAAAAAAGGCATCTAATTACAAAAGGATAAAGATTGGGAGACTAAAGTTACTCCTTACATTTCTAGATGCTACAAAGCAATTTATTAGCACACATTTCTTATTCCTCTTTGTAGAAACAGCTTCTTCATACCACAAAAGCAAGTGGAAAACAAGTTTAATGTGCGAGCCCTTTGCTGGCAAGTTGTATCACTTAAAGACATGTAGCTACAGGTTTTCAAAGCCTTTTCCAGCTGCAACTTAAAGCAGCTAGTTTTCCTCTACTAATATACTTCCAGCAAGCCATTTTTGTATCTCAACTTGAAACTGATAAAATTGCTAAAATATAATTAATAATAATCGGAAGCCAAAGTAAGTATTTTGTGATATGCTCCCCCTCCCTCTGTTCCAACAAAACCAAATAACTTAAAATTGGAAAAAATGGTATTTTTGCTATCTAAAAAAAAAAAAAAAAAAAAAAAGGCATCTAATTACAAAAGGATAAAGATTGGGAGACTAAAGTTACTCCTTACATTTCTAGATGCTACAAAGCAATTTATTAGCACACATTTCTTATTCCTCTTTGTAGAAACAGCTTCTTCATACCACAAAAGCAAGTGGAAAACAAGTTTAATGTGCGAGCCCTTTGCTGGCAAGTTGTATCACTTAAAGACATGTAGCTACAGGTTTTCAAAGCCTTTTCCAGCTGCAACTTAAAGCAGCTAGTTTTCCTCTACTAATATACTTCCAGCAAGCCATTTTTGTATCTCAACTTGAAACTGATAAAATTGCTAAAATATAATTAATAATAATCGGAAGCCAAAGTAAGTATTTTGTGATATGCTCCCCCTCCCTCTGTTCCAACAAAACCAAATAACTTCTCTTGAGAACCTTTGAGATAATCTTTGATTGTTCCTTCTGAAATATTGGAGAATTTGGAAACTGTTGCTGAAGCTGCATTTTAAAAATATTTGTGTCAGCTCCAGTTTAGGACATTAAGCTCTGGCTAAACATGCAACTACACTACAGTCATAAACTCATCCCTCTAACAGCATAAGCACAATGGATGTGCTGTGTTCAAGCTGCCATACAGACCATTAACTGATTGATTATTTAGCACTCTTTGCTCTGTAATACGGCAATAACACAGTAATAAATGCTTTGTCATACACTTACAATACAGAGTACATCTATTGAAACACAGCGCTTACACACGGTTAAATACACTGGGTGCTTCTGTTACACTGCAAACTATTTCCTGTTTTTAATTCCATGAGAATGGAGTGTGATGAGTTAATGCAAAAAGAATGTAAGCAATACCACTAAGATGACCAGTTACATTATGTATACACTAACCAGACAGAATGTATATGTACTAATAATTTACATCACTGGAAAGCTATCTTCTAATTCTGATAACATAAATATCACTGAACTGGCTGGATCAAGGCTGTCATCTTAGTTTTGTTATATGAACCTTGAACAGCAGGCTTGCTGGTTATTCCAACATATACCAGTTACATTTGCATGTCGTTAGCACTCTAAACCATTATTTATAGTTTACAATTTAATCATGATTGGTTCACTTTATTACTGAAAAAATGCTGTTAAAATATCAAGTATCAAGCGAGAGAAAGTGTCACACTACAAAGAAATATAGCGGTATTCAACTTGTGGTTTTCCCTATTTTGACAAATACTTAGATTTTTAATTTTAATATTCTCTGTATGAGCAAGTAGAGATTGTTTTCTATTTACCCATTTCAGTCTGTGTTCTGTGCTATCCTGTCTTGATGGCAATGCTGTCATAAGGCTAAATATTCATAACTTTGAATTTAGATCTGCTGTGCAAGTTAGCTACCATTTAATTTTCCATTAACTGGTAACTAGTAGCTACCACGTGCTACATAGCACTAGGGGGCGTTCTGACTACCAGTGCACAAATTCTGCTGTCAGCACACCAAAAGCAGCAGTATATACATATATAAAAACTCCTGACCATTCAGAAATAAGAGATTTGGTTCTTGTAAAATGCACAGACAGAATAATTTCAAGAGGAAGGTGGAATTAGTTTGAAATGTTGCACCCGTAAACTTTGGCCCTTCCTGTTTGTCATTATTCACCAATTTAGCATTAGACAATTATAAACAGTAATGCAGGTTAGCACCAAATTAATTTGGTAATTAATATTAAATCAGAATATCTCCTCAGTCTTTTAATACTGCACTGATCATAGTTCCCCAGCTCTGTCTCGTAAAAGATAATGTAAACCCACATGAGAAAAAAACTAAAAGAACTACTTCAATATATCTCACACTTCCAATCTTTCAGCAGTTGTCTTACTGGTTTGGTTTAAAATACATTAATCAGGACTTCTATTTCTTCAGAATTGCACTGAAATGAATCATGACTTTTCACACTGACTTTGAGGTCCGTGCTTACCTTTATGTGGCTGAAGTAACTCCTGTTAACACTAATGGGAGTTACATGGGGAACACCCACAACAGGTGAGACACATCTCTCCCTAGATGTTCATCATGAGCATTTAACTAAGACTTAAAGTGGGAAAGCAACTCAACTAATGACACAGCAACACTGGAAAAGATGCATTTTAAAATAATCTAACAGTGAAGACGTTGCCCAAAGACTAACCATGGCTCTGTGCCCTCATTTGTGAATTCAACATCAGAGTTGTCTAAATCAGAAATCCACATTTCTTGGAAGACCATATACTGGTACACCAGGAGCACAGAAATGAGAAACAGGGTGATAAAGTGCCAGTGTAAGTTTGTGAACAACTATGCTGGTCTTCCAATCTTCCAACAAGTTTTAATCTCAAACTTGAAGTCCCCTCTCATACCCACCAGCAAAAATGTCTCCAAATTATTTAAGTGTAACTACACATGCATAAAAGCCAATCGTAAGTTTAACTTCAGAATCATCTAAAGGGAATAAAACTTCATAAAATGATCTGTAGCACTTCACAAACACAGAGGTACAACAACAACAACAAAAAAGCTACAAAAACCTCTGCAAACACGAGCCCATTCTTTCTTATTTCAGCCCCTTTTTCAGCTAGAGAGGACCCTGCCAAATTTCATTTGATTGCCCCTGAAGAACTGAATAAAACAAAAAAACAGGAGACGTGGGTAGAAGATTTCGGCATGTATACAGTAATGGAATTATGTGGAGCTTCTTAAACACATGTAATACCTGAAAACAGCTGGTGGATTTAGCATCAGGAATTTATGTGTCCATTAGAGTTCAAATTCAAAAGGTATTGATTTCCTGGCATTACCCTGTCAGATTAATGCTCTATTCTTACACACTGTGAAATGTTTTGTGCCTTAAAAATACTATGGTGACATAATTGCTAAACTGAAGTCTGTCGTATTTCAAAGGCATGGTCTCTGAGGCCACACATAGGAATAAGAAATGATTAAAAAAACCAGGCATAGCAGAGGGTAGAAAGCAGTTTGGGTTTGCCTACCCACTGCTTTTAGTGTTACCAATCACAATAAATGGGTGAGCAGGATTTTGGGTAGGTTGTTTCTCCAGGAAATACTTTCATTCCAGGACAGCTATCTGGATGAACAAATATACAACAGCTTCCAAAACTCTCCCACAAAGAATTCCTCATGATTTTCTTCTGTCATCTTTGTTTTCCCAGTAACAGCAATAGGAAAAACAGGTATTTTTGTCCAATATCCTCATGAAAACATTTCAGAGTTTATTTAAAAGATCAAACAGCAACAGCTGCCACCTTCCTGACAGTAGGCTCAGACTGCTTATTTCACTAGAAAATACTGGCACCTGACAATACATGCTTGAAGAAAGAAAGGTGAACAGTTCAGGTGAAAAAAAATCTGACAAGTATATCACACAAGCAAACACTTCAAAATATTGTAGACTGTTTAAAACTTAAGAATGTCCATGGATTACTCAAGAGGAAAAATCATTATAAGAATATTCTAACAGCCTCAATAGACAGAAAAAAAACAAACCCTGGACAAACAGACTAAGAGAACATATTTCAAAGGGATTTAAGCATGCTGCCCCACAGCAGTCTAAAGTCATCTAACTACAGCCACTTGCCATTTCTGAGCACAAGCCTGGCAGAAAACTAAACTGACCAAAACAAAAACAGGAATTACAGCCCAAATATGGGAACACACTCCTTAAAACATTAGAATAAATGTGACTGTGCCCAATTTCCACCCATCTTCCATTTTAACATCGATGGCTTCTAAGCTATAAAACCCTACTACATTAATGACTTGGAACTAGCGGTTCTACCATCTGTTTACACATTGCTTGTGGAATAAAGGAACACGCGTGCAGGTTTTACTTTCACCACTGTGGTCTGCTGCCCAGTACATTAAAGTTTGCCATTCTGATTCATATTCCCTGCCTCTTGATCAGATTCTTCAAAAGTTCATAGCATCTGATTTGAAGATTACTAGCCTGGGCTACTTAATATTTGAAAGAGGTGAACTTCTGGGAAATTACTATATCTCCTTTTGGTGATGATGTGCTCAATATTTACCATACTGAAGGCTACTGAAGATAGAAAGACAAGTGAAGTTCAAAATTAATATTACCAGAATGACTCTGTCTTACACAAGTGACTTAGACTCTCAGTGTTGAGTCTCACTGCCTAGATGAGGCATACCCTGTTAAAGAACACACTTATTTGTTCTGATGATGTCCTAAACTGCAAAGAATGCCTGTTACTTACTTGCTTGCCCTTTTTTCCACATGCCAGAAAAATTATGAAAGAAGTACAAAATAATTGTAGTGTATTTATTTGGACTCAACCTCTAATCTGTTCTGTATAATCTTTCCCACTTCCCTTCTATTGTCCTGTAGTTCCTTAGTCCCTTAGTCTAAAATCAAGCACAGAACATGACACTTACTGAAACAGTGATTGTGGAAATGATAACGGGTAGACAGTGGTAGCAAAAAAGACCCAGCAAGCCATATTATATAACTGAAACTCTTCAGTGCTTTGGTATTTTTAAATAATTAGGTTACTAACAATTAATATAAAGCTATCCAGCAGCAACAGTCAGCATCAAGGAATAAAACTCAAGTCTGAACACAAATTGAAGTAGCAGGGCGAACATTAGGGCGAGAAAAGAGTAAGAAAAAAGAGAGATTTTTTGCACTTATCAGGCTGAGCTCATAGACAATTTACAGAGTATTTTCTGTGAAATTCAGGTTTAGTAAAGCTAGGCCATAAATTAAATATAAGAATGTATGCGCTGTTTGCGTGGAAAGTCATGAAATACTTTTGAGTCAACTTAGATATTTATGATGTGATGCCTATCAGAAATACTCGTGTCAACTCAGCCCTAAAAGTCAAACAAATTTCCATTGTAAATTGTTAACTAAGAAAGATCAGATCAGAAAATTCTTGCTTGAAATGAATCTGATTTCTGGGGAGAATTGTTATGGTATTTTCAAGGACATTACACAAATACTAGGTAAGACTGATAAGGCTGTTCTCGTAGCAGTTCAAACTTTTTAGAAATGAAGTCGCTATGGTTTTGATTGCTTAAAAGTATGATCATTTAGAACTTTGAGAAAGTACATTAGTGAAAAAAAAAATGCTGTTGGCAACTTTATAATTGGATTGACCCCACGCTCCATTATGACAAAACACTCGTAATTACAGTAATGTCTAAATGAGTACTAAATACTAAATACTGTAATGAGTCATGTTGTTTTACACATGTTTTTAGCAGAGCACAATGCTAACAGCATCTGATGACTTGGCTCTTGTTTCCTTTCCAAGAAAAGCAACCCAAAACCCCTCACAGCAACCTGTTCCTGCTTTCCTGTATGGGTCAGGAAATCAGGCCTCTGTTTCCTCTCCACATGTTGCAACAGGAAGAGCATTGCAGAGCTACTTCCTAAAGGAACTCTTCTTGCCCACCCTTTCCTTGACAGCCCTGAAAGAATTATGAGTATTATGTACGATGGGGGAAGGAGAGCCAGATTGCATGTCAGTGCAGGTCACAGTTACAATGCAGCAGATCTCAAAAAGGTGTAAGGTCTGATAAGAAGCAAGTCTTCTCTACTTGCTGTGTCAAATCACCAATAGTTTATCTAAAGGTCTGCGCCCTTGAAGCACATATATATCTTGTTTTTTAAGCATAACTGGAAATACCTTTCTGTCAAGAAAAGTTGTCTGGCCATGTGACTTTACATGGTGTTTGCAGTTATTTTTCCAGTCCCAGAGATAATTAGCACAAGGGCAGCTTGCCAAGCTAAAGCTGAGAGAATATCCTTCACAGCCTTTCTGGGCATTTGTGTCCTTTTCCAATTTTTATGCTGCTGTCACCGGACTCTGGCATTTCTTACCCAATTCATTTGCTTTCTGTGGTAATCATATGCAATGAAGATATGCATGGCCAACATTTAAACAGGCTGCAGATCAATTAGTGGTCTTAAGTTTATCTGATTTTTATCAAAGAAGACAGAGCTTTGGGTCGATTGTCAGAGCCTGTGTCAAGTTGACCTTTTCAGAGACGTCTACATTGCCAGTCCCTTGGGCAACTTGTTGTCCCCTGTTAGTCTCTGAATGGCAGAAGTCTGTTCTGCTCAAGCACAAAGTATACACAGATGTCTATATTACATTCTTATAGGTTTGACAGCAACTGCATGTTGTATCTATAAACTGTCCTTTAGCAGTGACACTTCCTCAATGATGATAAGCTAATTTATGCAACTAAATCTCCTTTGTGCAGAAATGAAAGCTAATTGAGTCATTACAAAGTAATTCAGGAAGGAATACCTTGTATAAATTGGCTTACTTTATAAATCCTTCTCAAGTGGTTTTCATGCATCCTAAGTGGTGCTAAGCAGTTTTGCTGCCATCAAATACCCAGGTGAAAAAGACAGCTTTACAGAGCTATAAAAACGTTATTTTAAAACAGCAAAGGGAAGAGACAAGAAAATGAAGGTAAAAAGAAAGTGCATACACAAAATAAAGAGGAAAGATTGTAATTACCTGAAACGGTCGTAACTTTCTTCTGGCTCGGTTTTCTTGGCACTTCAGCCTTTGAAGGAACACGTTCTTCTGCAAAACACATAACTGCAAATGAAACTCTGAAGGGACACCTCAGCTGACGGCAATTACAGCCCACATCACTCTGAAAGCCACTCTCTGCATTTCCAGATCATAAGCCCTGTTTACTATTTAGCATTTGTACAGAAGTTGGATCATTGCTATTTCTGTGGTTTCCCCCACCCATCCAAACACTCCAAGAGTTTTCTTTCAAAATCTCAATTGTGAACATCTGTTTCCCTTTTCACTCTGCTCTGAAGGCAGCAATGTAGAGCTGCAGTTCTGCTGTTTTTCAGTCATTCCAAGACAATTGGAATGAGGGTCCTATTCTGCTACGGATGGACGTTTCTTTGCAGGACAAAGAAAAGGAAACTGAAGATTGAAAAAGTATCCCTCGTCCATGCAAGAATTCAGAAGTTCTTAAGAGAAGTATTCAGAGAAGGCAGAGGACATCTTACCTTCAACACCATCATCAGAGACACGCACTAGCTGGACACCTGCATGATGGGAACACGGCCCCTGCAGATGCCGTGCATTCAGTGCTCCTGCCTGCTGCGCCTGACGGTGGTTTTAAGCAAGCCAGACCATATCAAATAACTTAGTGCAAGTGTAGGGAAACAAGAAAAGAGAAAGCCTGGCAGTGATCAGCTCTCTCTGAAGCATGTTTTCTGGCTAGCAGGCTTGGATCACTCTGAAATCCCCACAATTTGCAATTGAAAGGCAATTTTGAAAGATGTGCTCCATGCTCTTTGTCCGGTACCGATGGGGAGCTCTCTCATGCCCACACCCTCACTTAAGTAAATCCACACTCCACGCAGTACAGGGACATAAGATCTGCTCCCCACATTTCACAGTCAACAGTTCAGTTGATGAAGCAGAAAAGGGAACAAGCTATGAAGCTTTTTAGCTGTATTCTTTCTTTAGGTTCCTAAGAAAGTAGAAACTGATTTATCTTGGCCTTTACAGTATATCAAAACTGGCAAAGCTGCTGTGCTGAATGGGGAAACAGTAAATTGATAAACCCACTTCTCAAACAAGAACTGGACCTTCAATACATTTAAACTATTTGGCTTTGCTACTCATCACATCTTACACAGATATTCATGCTTCTTTTTAAGGCACACATTTCAGCAACTAATTTTGATATTTTATTGACAGGCAACAGATACAGAACTCTCAGCTTTTAAAATGTTCCTTATCGTGCAACTTTTATGTAATTGCCTATCTACTTTGACAAAGTGAATTTTATATCAACAGTTCAAAGGATTTTTAGCCTTGTAAAAATCTAATCTATCCACAAGACTGTTCCTGCAAACATTAAAGCAGATGTTTAAAGCACAAGAGTAGACCTGTTGAAATGAGTATGTATAATTGCTGCTAACATATATACGCAGTCCTACAAATATTACAATTACATCATGAGATTCACTCTACAAAGAGCTTTGAAATTCTGCCCTACTAAGCCAGCAAAATTTTCTGCTCTCTGACTCTTTACTAGCTAAAAGTCTGGTTAAGATGAACATAAATTATTATTTGAGCCAAGAAAAAAAAATTAAAAAACCAAACAATAGAATGGGGAAAATCTGAAGCTGCGGTACAACACAAAACACGCTAAACCATTTACTGCATTCAAATGTGTTCCCCCACTTGGCATAACAGTTGCTGTACATTTCCAAGTACACCTATTTATTTTAAGCACTCACATTTGGAGCATAAATGGCAAAAATACATCCCTGTGTGCTGTCCGGAGCACTAGGAGGCACTGTCATTCTGTGGCTTCCCTACCACTGTTACACCACTCAAAGATAGTATTATCCCACTGTCAGACACATTTTCTAGGACAGCTCCCTTTTCCCAGAACGACCTAGTTTCATCCAGCACCCAGAGTATTATACGCTGATTAAATATATGTTGATATTACATGTTACTGAATGCTTGGACCTCCATGAATTGATGTGTTGAACGTACTGTGGATTTTAACTCTATCATTGTCATGGTCATCAGATGAGCTTAAACTGAGGACTGATTTTTGTAGAGGGTATTTCAAATGAAGTAAAACAGCAGAGGAGGTTCAAAGAGATTTTTTCATAAGGTACAAATGAATACATGTAGATTGCATTTGGTTTCATGGAAAAATCTAGATTGTGTGCATTCCCCTTCCTGAAAAATGTATTTTCTAGACACAAGAGTCCATCAGATCCACATCTGAAGATGAGCAAATGTCTGAACCAAGGTTCTTTGAATATTGAAAAGGTCCCAAATCCAAACAACTGCTGCCAATATTAGCGTACTGCGTTGGATCCCAACCACCCCCACTTATCACACTTTGCTTTATGCTACAGAGTTGTCACAGACAGGTCAAACTTTCAGATGCAATTGGATTTGGAAAAGGCTCTCCAGAAGCATGCTGAACATGGTCCAGCTGCTAATGGGCATTCAGTCCAGGAACCAGACTAAAGTGACTCCACAGGAAACCCCTTCTGAAACATGCACAGCGCAAACATCAGGTCTTCTGCACAAACCTGTGCTTTATGAACCTGTTGCAAATGGTCCACACTACTATTAATGCAATTGTGCTCACAGTGGAGCAGATGCAATAGGCTTAGCTTAGGGTGGTGAAAAAGAACCCATGGTTCTTACTAGTGTTTTCTGGTATTATGTCCTGAAGCAATAACTACGTGCAGGAGAAGTCCTTTAAACACAGCAGCCTCAATTACCCCAGAAATTACAGCTACAGCTGGATGCAATACACTAAAGTTTGCCTTGCAACATGGAATAGAGTCAAAAGATGAAAAATAAAAAAATACAATAGAAGTCCTTCTGTATTATTAAGATAGTGTGCAACAGGAGTCACGTAGACCTTTAAAATAATCTGATACAATGTTTTCTCTGAATCTCTTCATACCATCACTACCACTGCAGTGAAAAAAAAAAAAAAAATACTCTCTCCACCTTCTCACTATGTCAAAATGAGACTAATTAATACTATCAAACAAGTGAACTCTACCAGAGCCGTAGATACAAAGAACCCTTGATCTACAGGTTATGTTTCGCACTCGGAGACTTTAATGGCAAACAACCTACAAAATTCTTGTGGTGACAAGGCAACAAGGAACTAAGCATTTTTTAGTTAGTCCCTGACAGCTGTTGAAAATAATTTACTTATTTAATTTGCAGTCTGAACAAAAAATTAAAAATATAATCACCCAATCACAGATGAGTCTACCATCCACACCATTTAAAAAGTAAACAATGAATTCTACACTATCTGAGTTCTTTTACAGGAATCCACTGGTGGTTTTTTTTTCCTATTTCTTTTTCTTAAAGGGGAAGGAGGGAGGAAAATCAGAGTACTTGAGTATAAAATGGATAAGAGTTTGGCTTGAACAGCGCATTCCTTCAATGGAATGTGGTATCTCCATAATAAATATACATAAACTTAGCAGTTTCCTCTACTAACACATTACTTTTACATTAGACTCTAATTTAATTGGTATTCTAGTGTCTTCTAGTCTCTGACACATTGTCATTGCACAATACTAGTTTATACCTTGGATAATCCCAGTTTGTGGTTAATATATTCTATTCAACACTTTAATAACAGTAAACAAAAACAGTTCAGCTATGCAGCAAAATCTACCAAACCACACAGATGGTTATACGGTTTTCATTGTGTGGTTTCCATAGCAATCATATTGCAAATCTGGAAGCTTCTTGCAAATAAGCAGCTTGTATTTACATGCCTCTCGGCTGCAGCACGGAACTCTACAACATGTGAAGTTGTTATTCCAATCACATATTGTTAGAAAAATCATTGAAAGATGTTTTGATCAGTTCAGATAAAAACTACTGCAGTGAACTAATTTTTCATCTATTCCATAATGATACAAGCAATCACACGCTTGTAATGCACATTGATATATCTTCATTCGAAATCTCGCTGTGGTATCAGAAGGTTATAAGCATACAAACAGGTCTTGCAAGACAGATCAACACAAAAATACTTGTATTATTAAATAATCATTTTTTTTAAAAATCACAGTGTCTTTACTATTGTACTCAGCAGGGATGATAGACGCGTGCAAACAAAAAGGTGTGTACATTAAGAACTCTGCTGACACTGAACATCATGGGTCTATACTGCTGTGTGCCAGAAAAAGTAGAAGATACAATGGCATGGTAACACCAAGGGTATTACTCCTCCACAATGCTTTTTTGCTACCAAATAATGACTCTGCACAAATGTAAACAAGAACTTCCAAACATGAATAAATGCTTAGCGTGGGAAAGAGTCGAGACCTTTTCTCTCCCAGATTTATAATTTTATGAATTGACCTAATCCCATAACAGCCGGGTTATTACTCTAATAAGGAACATAAATCAATCCAGCTATGTAATTTTTTTAAAAAATTAGTGAGACCTGGCGCTTTTTTTTTTTTTTTTTTTTTTTTTTTTTTTACAAACAAGATTCTTTGTTTAGAGAAACATTGAGAATTCCAAAGAAGGAGCAATAAACGTGAAAAATTTAAAAACAAAATCCTTTTTGGCCAAACTGACACCTTCTACTAGTATTAGTAGTGAGGTCTGCAGACCATCTGGGGTCAAAGGAATACGAATTAACACCCTGTTTTATGCAGGGCCAGCAAGCTGCCTTCCCTGAGGGGACAGTACTCCCCAGCCTTGGGGAGGGGGTCCTCTGCAGTATTCGTACTATATACACACCTAGATATGCCTATACACTTCACCCAAACTCTTGTGGGGTTTTAGTTTAAGCAGCTCGATATCCCAGAAATCCTCCATGTGTTGCTCAATCCTAGACTTATTTGACATGGTGTGTGAACTTAAAGTGGCAGGGACTTTCCTTTCTGGCCTCTTCTTTTAGACTCCAGATCCACCCATTCTGTAGGGAGAGATGTCCAAATCCAAGAAGCAAAACTCTAGTTTTGATAATCCTCCAATATTCCCATGGATCTGCCCCTTTCTCCCAGTTCCTCCCGGACATGACAGATTAC